TGAGCTGTCTGATAGCTTTGCTGCACCAGTGCTGAAAACAAAGAAACACTGATTAGCCACTGTCATTCTGAAAAGCATGTGGCCCTCAGCCAATTATGCAGATCTCCTCTGGCATTTTATTCTGTTGGTTACCGTGCGTTATTTTTTTATGAGAGGTGCTGGAAATAAAGCTTAATCATGCCTGAAAGTTGTACATATATAAATCAGAAGCTCTTCTCCCTAATCCCAGTTGATGTGGATTATTTGTATTTATTTGAAAACTCTGTATACAGAGTTCTGTTTCATGCCTCATCTATTCACCACAAATAATATGATTTCACATGATCCAAGGTTGCATCAAAATGTGTTAATGTTTTATTTATTTATTTATTAAAACATTTCTATGCCGCCCCATTCACCGAAGCCTCAATATAAAATAAGTAACAATATAAAATAAGTCGCCCTGGCCAGATAAAATAAGCAAATACTGTTAACAATTAAAATGACGCTTAAATAAAAAGGTCTTCGCCTAGCGCCGAAAAACAAATAACGACGGCGCCAGGCGGACCTCTCTGGGGAGCGCATTCCATAGATTGGGCGACACTGCAGAGAAAGCCCTCCTCCGAGTACCTACCCTCCTAATTTCTTTCACAGAGGGCTCCCGGAGAAGGGCCTCTCCCGCAGATCTCAAGGGGCGGGCGGGCATATATGGATGCCCGCCCGCCCCTTTAACTATTAATGTTAGTCTCCTTGTCTTATCCTGAGCTCTGCTTTACATTCATGAGCCAAAGTGATTGGGGTAATGTTGCCATGCCAAGCTGAGCAATGACACCTTAAAAACTCAGTTCCAAATCTGTATAGGATGTTATAATTAGAGAATTGTGTAGTCTTAATTTTAAAAAATAGGCTAAGATTTTGTACCTAGTAAACTGCCAACTGAACTGTACCAATTTATAAAAATGATACAACACTGGTTTATTTGGAAAAATTAATAGGTACTTCTGCTTTTTATGGAAATAAGTGATATTCAATGACAAATGAATGCATTTCTTGTTCTGCCTCTACTGCATTGTTGCCAGATTTAGGGGGTACACCGGAAAAAATTTGTGAAGGTGCTGCACAGGGTGCAGGAAATCTGTTCCCTCAGCAATTTATATTATGGCTTGACAAACAACCAAAGAAGTGGCTGTGCATCAGCTAGAAAGCTTACTGAGCTTCTCTCCAGCCATGGAGACTTCATTAAGTATTGTGTGTAGGTTTGGAAGCATATCTGTGCAGTCACAGAGATTAGAAATGTGCTTTCTGACAACAGAAGTTGAGCCTTTGGTATAAAACATTTTGTACCCAATGCTACTTTTTATTCTGATTATATGGACCTGTAGAATGTACACTACCTTGTTAGAAGAATTAACTGAGTAAACTCAAAAATTAATCCTTTCCTAAACTAGATTCTAGTCGATCATTGTATAAAATTAGGGAAAAAAACTGAGGTGGGGCATCAGAAAATAATTTTAAAATAATGAATCACAAAAGCATGTCCAAGCAATGCCTAGCGGATGGGATGACTGTGTATTGAAGCACACCTTCTTGTATAAAGTAGAACAAACTAGGAAATCTGGACTGCTGAACTGGAGTGTACAGTGTCTAATCTTAAATCACAAAATGGCAAGCCTGTTTGAGCAAGTAATGGAATGTGGGTTAAGCAAGAGCAAGAGGGTTCTGACACCATCACAGAACATGGCCAAAACTATACCATAGATACCAGTAATTATATGCCAGCAGCACAATTTGCACAATTATCAAAAGTTATCCATATATTCTGCACTGTGTGTGTGTGTGTGCGTGTGTGGAGAGTGTATGGTAGTTTTAATGGCCTTTTAAGAAAAGCCTCACACAGACATTAAACTGGTGAAAGTTTTCTTGGCTGTAGTTAAGTGGAGGAAGAGTTTCACCTAGCAATATAAAAGTTGATAGTCCAAACTGCATTTGCTCAGACTCAAAATATACCGCTTTTTCTCTAAGAAAATGTTATTTCTTTACAACAAAAGTGCCATTATGTTAACAGTACGACTCCTGTGCAACAACTAGATTGCAAAGGTGCATAGATTTCTTAAAAAGGAGACCACACAAAAAGGACCAGCCATTACTACTAAATTTGATAGCTACTGGGTTAGAACAACACAACAAGCAACTGTTTTTAATTGTTGGCTGCTTGTTGTATTGTCTGAACCCAGTCATGTTTCATCCACAACACTCTGTTCTAGGGTTTCTCTCTACCAGAAAACTGCTGTGCAGTACTGGTCAGTTCCAGTAAAGGGGGATAGTGAACAGTTCCAAGATCTCAAGTGCAACCCTACCCATGTCTTTGCAGGAGTTTCAGTGTGTTCAGTGAAGTTTATTTCCAGGTTAGTGGGTATCTTTTCCAGTTCAAGGACAGAGGTCTTGAATCTAATCCCAAACTGTACTTATTTCAGTGTGAGCCCTATTAAATAAATTAGTACTTCTCAGTAAACAAGCATACGACTGCCCTGCCAGGTATTTCATGAGTAGTGTCCCTAGCTAGGATTTAATTTATATGCACCAGACTATTTATGAGCTACAAATATATCTAGTCTTCTCTCTGTATACATTTTCCCTAAATATGGTATTTAGAGGACTACTAGGAGTGAAGCAAAGAATATCCTGCCTCTCCTAAAATATATTACTACTGTACTTTCTCCATCTCTGTTTCTCTATGGGTGAGAGAAAACCTGGTTAATATTTGCCTGTTGGAATACTGGAAAACCATATTTTGGATGCCTTCTCACTGCAGTCAATAGGTTTATGCAAGGAAACATTAAAGCAAAGGCCACAGGATGACCTATACTGCAAAACCCATGTGTAGTTTTTTTTTTTTTAAGATATCTTAATCATCCCAAAGAGTGCTTTAAAAAAGTAACAACTGTGGAAAAGATGGAGTTTGAGCAGATGTACATTCTCTCAATATGCAATATTGGCTGGTTTCCTGTTCAAAACAGCAGCTTTGTCTGCTGTATAGCGTATCGTAGCTCCAAGAGGGGGAAAATGTGATAAAGTTAACCAGGAGAAATATCACTTGCCCATTTTATTGCTCCCCATAGATTGTTTCAGTTACTTCTAACATGGGTAATAAAAGCTGTCCTTGTTGAATATCCAAACAAGGAAGGAAGGTAGAATGGCAATATGGAGATTTGGGGAAGCAGAGTGGTTTGCTAGGACCAGCATTTCAACAATGGGGCAAAACCATGGACTCAAGAAAAGTCAAGAGGAGAGCTTGGAGAAAACAATGATGTCATATCTGTTACAATTTGGTCTCACGCATTCACCCTCAGGAAGAACTATTTGAAATATATGGGGCCTAACAGACTACTATGCTCTCTGCCTGAGAGTACCTCAATCCTTCCCCAACCTTTTCCTTGCTAAATTTCCTAACAGGAACATTGAGAGGAACACAAGGAGACAGACTAACTATCTGTAGATTGGAGAACCTTTGGTCCTCCAGATAATGTTGGAAGCCATTTCCCATCATCAGCCAGCAATAAATAAATGATAGTTGATAGTTGTCATCCAATTGTAGTTGGTAGGTTCCAATTGCAGGTAGGTAGGCTCACTACAGATGAATTGTAAGAAGACAGGAAGCCAGAGCACCGATCCATCTTGCGAACTAGTAGCACCTGGGAAATTATGGAACATCATACATGATGCAGCACCTTGCTGAAGACACACAGGGCTGAGTCTGCTCCATGCCTGAGTGGGAACCACCAGAAAAAGGACATGGACTCCTTTCCCTTCCCTCATTAAAGAAAGGTGGGTTGTAATTCGTGGTGGCATAGAGCCAGGGGATGCCACATTTGGTTGTTAGTTGCAAAGTCGCATCCAACCCATCGCGAACCCATGGACAACATTCCTGCAGGCCTTCGTTTCCTCCACCATCCCCTGGAGTCCAGCTAAGCTCACGCCGACTGCGGCAGTGACTCCATCTAGCCACCTCATCCTCTGCCGTCCCCTTCTTCTTTTGCCGTCAATTGTTCCCAGCATCAGACTCTTCTCCAGGGAGTCCTTCCTTCTCATTAGGTGGCCAAAGTATTTGAGTTTCATCTTCAGTATCTGGCCTTCTAAAGAGCAGTCAGGGTTGATCTCCCCTAAGATTGAAAGGAGGGCTAGATGAATCACAAGTTGGATGCCACACTAGTGTATGCTTATTAACAGGAGCACTACTGTAATCTGTCACCCTCAGAATTCCCTATTTCCCCAGAGTTTAGCTTGGAAGGGCTTGAAATAATTTCTTTCAGCAACAATATATAGTCAGAAGCCATCCCTCCTGGAATGCAAATTATTTTCAAGTAGCCTGGTCTTGTATGGTCAATTAAGGCCCATTTTGTTCTGCAAAAGACCTGCTCCAGAGGACGAAAACTGTTAGCACCGGTATGTTGATAGGGCTCGACACCACTTGGCTTCTCTTTGGCGGGTGACTATGGGACTAACAGGGAGAGCGACTGCATTTTCAAATGTACCACAACACCATTGTATGTAATATATAACACACCTTGCTATTGACCTACCTTCAGTATACCTGTAACACCAAATAATAAACGAATGATCCCCTGCCCACGAGCTAATGTTTGTTAAAACGCATGTTAGAAAGTTCTCTTTCCAAAATCGTTTAGTGGGAGAGGCTGATTCAGGCTACACTCCTTACGAGAATGAGCCATTAAAAGCAATAAAACGTTGTGGGGAAGGCATTTGGCTTTTATCGCCCCCTTCCTCTCCCTCTCTCAAGAGCTGCAGAGAAATCCGACCAGCCTCAGCTCCCCCCGCCCGCGCCCCCCTTAGCACTTTCCCGCCTCCTCTGAGGAGACCGCCTCGTCCCGCCCCCGCCCCCTCTGTCACGTGAGGAAAACAAATGCTCCCGCGGCCGCCCTGCCCCATTTATACCGCGCGGACGGCGGCCGCGCCTTCTTCTCCACGTTCTCGCCAGGCTGCTCTTGCTCACGCCCGGCGCGATGAAGATGCACTTCAGTATCCCTCTTTCCGAAGAGTTGCTGGAGAAGTTTGGCGGCCGCTACGTGGTAAAGTAGCTCGCCTCGACAAGGGAGGGAGCGGGTGGCCTCGCCGCAGCCGCGCTCGGGGCATGGACCGCGGGTTGGGTGGGCCAGTGGGTGCAGCAGGGCACCCCCGAGTGCCCTCCAGACGTGTCGAACTGCAACCCCATCACCCCCGGTTACAGTCCATCACATTTAGATGGCACCCGGCTGCGGGAGGCTGGCGCGGGGCTTGTTGGTGGGCGTGTCTGCTCAGCGTTGCACCAGACAGCGCCGTGAAAGCGCCACAGTCGCGAGCAAGTTGAAAGGAGTCGCGCCGACGCCCCCTCCCGCGGCGTCGCCAGAGGGTGCTGGGGCAGCCCGAGGGCGGGGAAGGGTCCTTTCGCTGAACCCAAGTGCATCATCCTCTCTCGGGCTGTTCGCGTGTGTCGAGCGTGGGGTGGGGGGGGGGGGCTGGAGGCTGCGGGTGCCGCGAGTGTCGTTGTGCCTTTATACCGGTGTGTGTGGGGTCCCTGTTGGCAGGCGGAGCGGGGCCTGATTTGACTGTCATTTGTAGGCAGCCCACAAGCGCCTGAAGGATGAGGTGGAGTGGCGTCTTAAAAGGAAGTGTTTGTGTGTGCTAGAGGGTGGGGGGAGGTCAGGCCGTGTGCATGTGAGCCAAGAAAGGGCGCAAGGCGGCACGATGTTGAGACCATGTGGAAAGGGAGGAAAGGGCACCGCTGGTGTGTGAAGGAAGGTATGGCCAGAGGCAAGCGCTCACAGCATTATTCTAGGGCTTTTGCTGGACTGAAGGCTAGGAGGGAATGGCACAGATTTGTATTTCTCGGTCAGGAAAAACTAGCCTGTTTGTGATAACTGAAATAATAGACATTTTCTCCTGGAACTATAATGATCTGGAAAAGGGCCATTATTCTAAAATAAGGAATATCTCGCATGCTTGGGCTAGTGGAACATGTTTTATATTCAGAAGGTAGAGGGATGCCACTTTGTGTGACCGGGAGTGAGAATTGACAGACAGTCCATAAAGAGGATGGGAGATTGTGTGTGTGTGTGTGTGTGTAGCATTTGGGATGTTCTGTCATCCCAGAGGATGCTCCTATCTAGAGAACTTGCATATCTGATTGAAAAGAGCAGAGATCTTTAGAATAAGAAAGGGGGGAGTATAGGTAGTGGGAAGCCCCAAGCACACCTAACTCCCCAGATGACTTATTTGGAGACTGTGTATTTTCAGCTGTATTCTGTGTACTTGGAAGGCTTCCTTTTCTGCAAGGTGCGTTACAGTCAATTGCACCGTTGGAATGAACAGGTAAAATATATTCCATTTCTTTGCTTTTCTTCTCTATCAACTATCACAGCTTCTCCTTACATTTTCTGCCAGCAAACTTTTCAGTTCATATGTTTCATATAAACAGGGAGTATTTATAACATTGCTTCTCTGGGTCTAGAGTCACTTAAATATTTCAGCCATAAATGTCAACACACTTTTTCAAGTTGGATGCATGGCTATGTAAATATTCCATTTGTCTGAAGGACCTGAGACACTTTTAAACTTGTATACAGATAAGATTATCTGTATGCTAACAATATTCTGTTACACAAAGCCTGCTGTGTGGTGTTCTTCCAGAAAAAAAAGGTTAATTACATTTCTGTTCCCCCTTCATGCCTTTGAGAATATTCCCTAAGACTATCTTAAGAACTGGAGAGAAATAATCAGCTTGTTCTTTCCAGTAAGAAAACTCAAGGGTAGTAAGTATTAGAATGCATGCATCCAGTAATTCTTTAGGGACAAATAATGCCTGCACACATTCAATCCTAATTGTTCCAATAAAATTATACACCCAGAAACATCAGCATAAGTGGGCAAGTCTTAGAGAGCAAAATCTGTTTGTCCCCCCCAAAATTGTTGAAAATTGAACAATTGTGATAGAGCATATAGACATAGCTTACTCTTCTGTCTAGTAGTGGTTTATGATAGTTGTATAGTCACATTACAAAAAATGTAAGCATTAATGGAGGTGCTAGCTGTAGGGGAGAAATGGCATGTATATATTTTATTTATTAAATTTATAGCCTACCTTTCCACCAAAAATGGTGCTTAAAGCAGCTCTCTCATTACTCCCCCCCCCCCCATGCTCTCTCTCACACACAAAACAACTTTCAAGATCAAAAAGAAATTAACAGTACTCAGCCAGTTAACAATAGTACGTAGCCTTACGGTTTGGGGCTCTAATATGCCAAATGCAAAACTTAAGTATTCACTCAATATCTGCATGCAACCTAAAGGAGCTGAATACCTTTCCTCTCATAACAGCATAACATGTAAAAGCAAAGGAGCTTCTAGTTAGAAGATACTAAAGTCAATTATGATTATATAATTGATTAGTAAAATTCAGTTTGATAAAGCTAGCAGATGCTGGGTGTTGAAAGGATGAGGAATATACAAGAGAAGTTCCCTACTTTATGAATATATGAGAGGGTGTTGATATGTATCTGACATTGTTTTTCATGTTTTTATTATTGTCTCTGAGGAAATGAAAATAACATATCTGTAATCTTTTGGTATTGACAAGTAAAAGCATATTGGGCATCATCTCAGTTTGATTAATTAATGTGACCATAGTTTAGAGGTATGTGGGCTTTGAAAAAGATGTGGGAATGTACAGAGGTCTGTATGCCCAGCCTTTGGATTAAACTTATGTATAGTACAATCTTATGCATGTTTGCTCAGAAATAAGTCTCAGTGAGCTCAAAGGGATCTACTTCCTATTGAGTGTGCATAGGATTGCAGCTTTAATTGACATGATAATGTAAGCTGATCCATGGGAAATTTCTTGGGCTTATTGTCAGGGTGTCTGGTAAATATTTATGACAAAGAAAAATGAAATGGAAAAGCAAGCATCTTCTTTCTGTACTAATTTTGTATTTGCTCAGACTCCCCATTGAAGGGTAAACATTTATTTTTCTTGCAACTGCTACTAGTGAGCTTCCAAAATTATGGGAAAAAAGAATTGTGTGGAACTGAAAAGAACAGATTTCTCTTCCACTTGAGGTTTTTTTTTAAGCAATAGCGACCCAACTATAATAGATAAGCTATGACAAATACTTTCTTCCTGCATTTAAAATCTATTATTTTAAATGCTTATCTAGAGCCAAATTAAAATTGTGTTAGCTACTACCTAATTCAGTTTGCTTGCTAGAGTGATGCTTTTGCTGATTCAGATTCTGTAACGTGGTTGTACCTTGAAAGAGGAGCTAGTAACTGTGTGTACCTGAACATAATTACAGTTCCCTTTTATGTGAAGCAAATGAGATGTTATCATACTGTTTTACACAATCTTGGCCAAACTTTTCAAATGTTTATACAATATATTAGTTTTTGTAATCCTTTTCTAAAATTTTATTATCCAATGCATAACATTAATGTATGTTCCACAGTGACTAACTTCTTAATAGCTAGAAGTTTGTTTGGGCTTGGGTGAGAAGGAGGTTGAGGAAACTAGCCAGGAATAGAGGAGAGCTTGTCAATCAAGACACCTGCTGACTTAGTCCTACATCTCTGCTTTATACCTCCATGCATTTTTATTCTCTAAAGTAATTGTATAAATTGAATCATTGTGGTAGTGTGTCTTGTGGTTTTGTAGAGTGCGCTTATGTCAAAAATTGCCGTTGGGTCAGTTATCCTGTTTTGATCTAGCCATATTCCTAAAATGTTTATCCATTTCTATGTCATAGGAGTTTGTATGATACCACATCTAACATTAGGTGCTCTTCTATTGTGTATCATTGACCCTCATGCTCAATGCCACCACTGTATTCTGCCTCAACATGTGCTGCTGGCACAAAGCTATACAGACAGTGATGACATGATTATTGTGCTTCATAATATGTACTTCTCCGATGCTGCTCTAGAACATGATAACAGCCTTCTATTCAGGAACATAAGAATTGCTTTGCTGTATCAGTCCAGCTAGTTTGGATTTCTTGTCTCTGACAATTAAGCCATGCCTCAGGTTCCACCAGGAAGTTCACAAGCAACAGTATGAAAGATGATCCTCCATTTTAACCTATATTCTTCCAGTTATCTGCCAACTGAATTAGCTCTATATACAAGTGGTACAACACAAATGTGAGGGTGATGATGGTAATAGATTGTTTCCCATACTGTCTTTCTGCAAAGTGTGCTCCTCTTCAAATATTGTATATTATAATCCTAAACAATAGTTATGAAAACAGGTCTGATAATTAACATTCAGGCTTGAACTTTTAATTATTTGACTTCTGGTAACTTTATTTGAATATAAACATATTGGGAATACTTGATACCATTCTAATTTTAACCATCTTTACAGTTACGGCGGGTTTTTGGCAAAGATGTGCCATCATTTCCTCCAAAATTCTACCTTGCAATGACAAAGTCAATGGCTGATGAAAGGAGAGCTCAGCTAGAACAATATCTACAGAATGGTATAGTGAATCTTGGTTTTTTTATTATTGCAAATAGCTTTTAATGGTGCAGATGTTATGTATACTGTGATCCCATAGAGCTATCAGGCTGCATCAAAGAATAGACCTAGTGAATTGAATGAGACTTAAGCTTACATTTAAGACAGTTCATTGATTAGAACAGTGACAAATTTTCCAGTGTTTCATTTGTTCACTGAAAATTTTCTGTTTTATAAAGTCACAACATTAAAAGTATGCCCACTGAAAATAAAATGCTAACTAAGCTTGGCAGTTTCAAAGTTGAAATTAATGTTTTTCAAGTAACTATCCCTAGCAAATACATGATAGAATATATACATGACTGTATATGTCTCTGTGGGAAATGTAACTAATATGTAGTAATAGGAAAATGGAAGATGCCTGAACAACTGTAATGGGAGAGATGTGTTGCAGCAGATGTATGGTTCTCAGCATATCATGCACAGTTCTTTGGGTTGCAAACATTTATTAATGCAGCCTTCCCCAACCTGGTACCCTCTAATATGATAGACTACAACTCCCATCATCCCCAACCAGCCATGATGACTGAATGATGCTGAGAATTGTAATCCAAAATATATGAAGGATAACAGACTGAGGTGGGGGGCTGAATTAATGTTGCTGCTGAAAATTTAGCACCTTTGTTTCTTTCTTACATTTAGTGAGGCTGCCAGTAACCCTCTGAACTCAAGGGATTATGAGCATCTTAGGCTGGGTGGGAGGAGTGCAGAGGTGAAGGTCACCCCATCTCCTCCTGCCCTGCAAAGTAATTAGAGATCTAAGTGCATTGCTTCAGAGTGGGAGAAAAGGAGGCTGAGGCTTTTCCAGGATATATTGTATCTCTGTGCTGCCACTCTCTCGCCCTGCCTCTGAAAGCCCTTCTCCAAGGCAGCCTTGGAGAACCAGCAGGCACAGTTTCTTCTGCAGTAGCTCTGAATGGTGTTTGGATTCCTTTCGCTAGGAATCCAAACAATCCTATGGCCATCTACATGCTGTTTAGCGGCTGTAGGATTGCTCTGCCCTACAATTTAAAGGAAGTACATGCTATTATCTTTCTCTTTTCATGTATATTCCAATACAAATATCTGCATAATGTAACATTTACATCTCATTAATGCACTTTAATTTTTTTTGCCTTATTTCAGGTATGGTTTCCTGAGGCAAAAAGTTAACACCGACTGAATTTTTTTAGTTTTCCTTATTTTACTTGTATTTAGTAGACATGCTAAATTAAATCACTCTTTAATTATTTTCTGATGAAAATGGAACATTTTATGATATAAACTGAGAATTTTCTAATGAAATTGACTCAACATAAATTAGCATATCACTGAATGCAACCTGTAAGTTCTTGAATAGATATTATTCATCATTTGGCCTGAACAGAGTTAATTAACCTTGAATTGTTTGTTATAGATAGACTAGCTTGAAAGTAGCTTTCCAAAAGACCAGAAAAATGCTTTCCCCAAGCTCATGCATTTGATATATATTGAACTGCAACTCACATCATTCTCTGCCAGCATGGCCAATGCCTTGCATTACATATAATGGGTAGGATCTAGTATAATATACATGTGGGACTCCTGGTCTTCCTCTCCTTGCATCTTTTCCAGGGACCGTCAGATGGAATGGAAGAAGAAATGGGTGGGAATCAGGTGGAGAGTACTTGTGCAGATAATGAGCCTTGCTCCTTAAGAGCGGCAGGGGTGAGCATATGGCTGCAATAGAGAGGAAAAGTAAGGGAATCCCCTTTGTTTGAGCCTTCTGAACTAGATCTGATTTCTTAAACATGGAAGTATTTTCCTCTCCTTTGTTACTAAATCAAGTGTTATTTGGAAATCCTTATAAAAAGGATGGTTTGCATTTATATGCTTTCTTCATCAGGCATTTGAGACATGCTGATTGTCTCTCTTGAACACCAGTCTGCACAATCCTTTCTGGATTCTCCATTGTACTGCAAAAGCATTAAGCATATTGTTATTCTCTCTCATATTTATCGTGGACATGTATAAGCTATCTTGAGAGATAAATTGTCAGTTTCTCAATCAATTTCCCAATTTATCAATAATAAAATGGTTTGTGATAGCATATGTCATATTTTTTTTCTTCTCTCTCTTCCTTTAAGTAATCACTCCTGATTTTTGTGTCTTTGCTTTTCAGTTTCAATTGCACCAAGTATTACAAACAGTGACATCTTTATTAGTTTCTTTAGGAAATTACAACAGGTAAGTTGACTGTGTCACAACAAGCTACTATAAAAATCATGCTGCCTTTCTTGCACCTTTCTATATTTATACTTTAATTTTGCTTGCACTTATAGCAATCAATCAATCAGGTTTGTAGAATGAAAACCTGCATGTTATTAGAAAGTAGTAAGTGGCACCTCTAATGAAATGTTGCTGTGTGAAGTCTCCTATTTATGGTGCCAGCCAAGCATTACCTTTTCAAGATATTCCATTCCATGCCTACTATGCTTGTTTAGTCCACTTTGGACTGTTTGGGGCATTAAACACACATACACTTAGAGAGCGATCCTACTGATGCTCCGTCAATAAACAAAAACTTCCAAGATCAGAACCCTCTATCTTTCGCCTTGCAGGATTGAGGAAGATGGAGGTTTCATACTCCCCTTTAAAAGTAAAAAAAAAATCAGAAGGCAATTGAGCGCATCTTGCTGACCCACTTTATTCACTATTGAACCCTGAAAAAAGCCACTTCTGTGGTTTCCCCAATGGCTGGGCAGTTTAAAAGAAAGGCCTTATTTTAGATCCTCCAAATTGTAGAACTAGCTACAGTCATGGGAGATGGGATCCTATAAATCTTGTGATCCCTGAGACATTGCATTGTCCAAGATTTTTCTGAAGATTTTTTGACACTTCTGGAACTCTTGGGGTTTCCTCAAGCATGCAGTACCTCCCTTTTATTCATGGATAGTGATGGTTTGGCTTCATAACAATTCAAACTCAGAGAATGATTTCTATCAGAATGAAATAAACACTGTCTCCTCTGTTGTATTAGCTACAAAATCTGTAAAAAAATAGATAGGCATTAATTGTTTAAGTTGATCTTTATCTTTAAGCATGAGCAAACTGAGGTGACTTGTACCTGTATATGCATGAAGGTTATAATTTGTTCATTTTTTATCTGTATTGTTGTTAGTGTGACCTGTTGAACTGGTAATTATGCCAGGCTTCCATTTTGTAGGCTTTGGATGATTGTACTACACATTGGTATTGGATCTGTTTCACTTTTCACCATATTCTCATAAGAATTGGTTGGTGGCAATGCCAGCAAGCTGGAACAGCATGGAGTTTATTGCCAATTATTTCCCCACTTTGATGATACAGGTGTCCCCTGGAAAATTTTATCTGGCCCAGTTCTTATATGTGTACATTCTGTTTTCTGGAAAAAAAAAAACAGTTTCTATCTCACTTTCCTGTCAGCAGGTTCCCAACTTAATGCTTCTATTAAAATACAATAAAATCATAATTAAATGCCACTCTAATGAATACTCAGCAAATGTGAACAATTCCAGTTCAGCATTTGGAATCAGGGTATTTGAAGAGCCTGGTTTAGACCACAAACTCTGGTTAAGATTGGTCTTCTGCCCAGTATTAGCCCAAGACATAGGGCTTCTTGAAGTAGAGCATCAAATAGTGCTCTTCCCTCTCATCTTATGGCCAATGCATTATAAGGTTGCTGCACATAATGTATATCTATTCTTGCCTTCATCTGTCTCCCTGAATTCTGCACCTGAAACAGCCTGATTCAAGGCACAGGGCACAGCTGTCTCTTCTTGTTTCACATGCATTCTAAAAGCTAGAAATGGACATATTTTTACAGTTTGTCCAGATGAAACTTCTTAAAACAGGAGCAATTACTGGAAGAGCCTTGCATTGAAGTGGTTCTGCAAGAGCAGTTTAAGCCATCTGTGGGGAGGGATACTCTCTGGCCAGCTGACTACTCTTCTTTTAAGATTCTGGTTATTTTTGAAGAATTCCATCCATTTGAGCTTTTTGTTTCTATCAGCAGCCCTACCTGTCAGTGTTTTTAAACTGTTTTTATGTTGACTTCAATTTGAGTACATCACACCATGTTTTTCAATGAATTCAGTAATAAATTATAAATATTTATAAAACAACTCACATATAGATACTGTGCAAAAATAAAAACATACTCTTGATTTGTAGGTTTTCAGTCTAGTAATATTCTTTACCCTTATGCCCATAATGCTCTTTTGTCTGAAAACAGTAGGGTTTGCTTGTGTATATTAGAGGGCAGGGAAAGATCTGAGAACTTTCTGGTCTTTTAATGATTAATTGGTTTTGACTGGGATGAGAAACAATAAGTGTGTTGATATGAAAATGTCAACATCTCTTTATCTGGTAATGGTGGTGGCAGCTACAGCCTGGCATGTACTTAGAGCTGGAAGCTCAAATCGCAACACTGTGTACTCTTCATGGTTGCGAGCTTGTGAGATGGTGGAGTCAGGTGTCAATGCAGGGGTGAGAGCTTTTCTAGGCTGGAAGATGATTGTAAAGAAAAGCCATACATGGAGAAGAAGGATGTTTAAAAGGTATGACATAGACTCTTGGGGCAATTTCAGACATTTTTTGTGGTATAAGCGTCTGTGGGCTTGAGTACACTTCAGCAGGTATATGAATTGGACTGTAGTCCACAGAAATACATACCATAACAAATCAGCATTAGAAAGGGTCCAGAGGAGGGCAACAAAAATGATTCAGGGTTTGGAAACACTGTCCTATAAGGAGAGACTTGAGAGAACTGGGCATGTTCAGTCTTGAGAAGAGAAGACTGAGGGAGGGACATGATATCCCTCTACAAGTACCTCAAAGGTCAATATCTCTTCTTGCTGATACCAGAGTGTAGGACATGGAATAATCAATTCAAGCTGCAATAACCGAGATTCAGACTAGATATCAGGAAAAGCTTCCTCACTGTCAGAGCAATACAGTAGTAGAACCAGCTACCTAGAGAGGTGGTGGGCTCTCCCACACTGGAGACATTAAAAAAGAAACTGGACAGCCATCTGAGTAGAATGGTGTAAATTGGTGTCCTGCGACAGCAGGGGGTTAGGCCCGATGGCCTTCATGGCCCCTTCCAACTCTATGATTCTACATGGTTGATGAGGAAATGAAATGAAAACAAAATTGAATGGCAATGAAATATAGAACGTTCAGATTGTGGCAGTGTCTTTAAAGTTAAGAGCCCAATCTTATACTGAGGTTCTGCTTTCTGAGGAGCGGTAGAATCTGGCAGGAATCAGTTATACTGTCATAACATGTATGCCAATGGAATGTTGATAGTTTAGTGTTTCTTCTAGCAATGATAGAACTCTGGAAAAGCAGGGCAGAACTGTTGGTAGGAGGGGCTGGCACAAGGAAAAAGCACATTTATTTTATATCCTGAACTCTTCTTACCTATTGACACATCCCCAATAGCGGAACACTGTACCAGCCCTGGGCCCGGTACAAAGAATTTCCCTCCCATTGGCATGGGATGGGTGGATTAAAGACTAGTTACCCTCCCCTAGCACACATGACCATGACAGAGTGTAAGATATGTTGTAACTAAGCTTCAAGTTGCAGGGGATCACTGCCCATATGTTACTTGTCTTTTGCCCTGTTACGGTTTTTCTACCATGCATAGATGAGTGGAACCATATGCTCCACCTACCATCCCCTGCTTCCTGAGCCCATGCTTGGTGCCATGGATCCTTGAGAGTTGTTTAACTTTTGTACATGTGTTAGCTCAGTTGGATGACACAACAGGGCACAGGCACAGCTGGAATTTTCATAATGATGCCACAGCTTGTTATGTGTTCCAGTTACTGGAGTGAGTAGTAGTGTTTTCAGCATTGCTTTTACAGTGCAATCCTATACTTTTCTACTCTCTGATCAGAAATAAGCCCTGCTGAATTTAACAGAACATATTCCCAGGTTACTGTGTATAGTAGGTAAGGGACATCAGAGATATCTCCAAGAGATTCAAATGAATTTGGATTTTGATGACTCCAAGTTGTAGCAAATTGGGTTTTTCTGAGTCATACTCACTTGTGGACCTTTTTAAACTTGAGAGTTGCACAAATGCACACTTATCTTGGTTGAATCCTCACTGTCTTCAGGGGTACCTAGGTCCTCTTAATACATTTAGGCTGGAATCCTATTAACCAGACCTGGGCATTGTACGGCCCACGGGCCACATCCAGCCCGATGGCTGACCCTGACTGGCCCACATGAGGTCACTGGCAAATTAAAAGTCAATGCAAATATATATTGTCATAATATAGATGTAAGCAATACAACTGTACTGCTTTTATTTTGAAGGATCTGCTAAATTGAATTGAATTTATTGCTTTTCATGTAATGTTAATGTTTTTCTGAATATTCAATAAATAGTGTTGTTCTGTGCTCCACATTTTCATTGTATCATTGTAATGTTTCATTTACTGTTTTTATAGAGATATATATTGAGCAGAGCTGTAAGTGTATTGGTCCAGCTCTTAACAACTGTCAAAGTTTCTCATGTGGCCCCATAGGAAAATTAATTGCCCACCCCTGCTATAAACCAAGATGAAGAGCCTCTGGCTGGGAGCAAGATATACAGAACTCAGCCTATTTTCAAACCCAACCCACGGTGGCTATGGGCCTGCCTAATGCTGGAATGTGAACTCCAACGAGTTTCACCAAATGGTAATAATGACCTTGGTAGGACATGATTTTTCCACTGCTAGTACATTTGTGATCCAACTGAATTAAATCAGTCGAGCAGAAAATAGCCCTCTTGGGCCTTCCCCTGTGGACTGTACTAAATATGGGCTTTGAACAGGCAACGGAAACCATCAAGCAGCGCATTGCAGACATTGAAAGACAAAGCAATCTCAATAGAGCCCCTGAATTCTACCTTAGGGAAGTCTATAGACATATTGTAATAGGCGCACCCTGTCTCAAACAGTTGGAACTCCATAAACACAGAAGGACTTGTACCTTGACCCACCTTAACAAACTCCTCTCAGTGGTTTTGGAGGGACGGTACAAAAAGATCTGGTCAGAGCACCTTTTCCCCTGTGGTATGAGACAGATAGAAACTACAGAGCATGTCCTGTTGAGGTGCACATTCTACAGGGATATTTGCACTGCACTCATTTCCCCACTAATGAATCGCTTCCTGGGCTGTACGGAACAACAATATGTCTATATATTGCTGTCTGACACTAACCCAACAATAACATATAGAGTTGCTAAATTCTTCGCTGCCATGATGGGTGTCCAAAGACAGATCCTGAGGGAGTGTGGCTCTATCTAGTTGGACAAGGACAAAGTTTGAGATTGTCACCGATTTTAGATGACTGATACTGTGTCAAAGTATTTATTAATCCGAGTGGGGTTTTAATATTGAGAATCTTGTATGTATTTTCTTCTTTTTTAAATCTATTTATTGAATGGAGCTGGTCTTTGACCGCAATAAAGTTTTTATCTATCAATCTATTATGTTCGTGCAGATTTTGTTAAATTTATCCTACTTGTGTATTCTAAGGCATTGTTTATTCCATCTGTGAACTCAGTCATAGTGTATATATTCTCACTTAAAGCTCTTCTGTCCCAATTTGCTCATCCTCTTACAATTTTTTGAAATAAAGAAGTGATGGGTTTTCCCTTCAGTAACTAGGACCACAAATATATGTATTCCAATCTCTTTTGTTTTTTCATGTTTTTTAGGATACATTTAAAATCTCAACCCAGCAAGCCTTTCTGGATGTTTACCTTGCTGATGGAAGGTATCTCAGAATTGATATTCAGACCTCAGATACTGCTGAAAGAGTGCTAGAGGCAAGTAATTTTATCAACAGATTCAATGGTATGTCCTCCTAACATGAAGCCATGATTATATTTATTCAAAGTGGGTTCAACCTATAGTCTTGCTTAGAATAGACTTATTAAAACCAAAGGGACAAATTGGTGATAAACTTAATGTCCCTTTGATTTTCAATGGATCCAGTGCCATGTCTTTAAATCATCCTCCATCCTTCTGGGTACTTAATAATATATTTTTGTTATGTCTGTCCAAATACATCAAGGAATTATGGGAAGAAATAAGCACCAACTTAAGGAGTTTATTTCTCAGAGACAAAACTTAGGGTCCTGTTAAATGAAGAAGATATTTGGATAGTACTGGGGAAAAGAATTGGTGTAGGCACACCCATAGATAAACCAGTGAGGGGGACATGCAGGAGGCTTTCAGTACATACTTTTCATGAGAACTCTATAGAATTCAAAAGTTCTAACATCTCTATTCCACCAAAAGGTCTCTAGACCTCTGTGGAGAAAAATATTTGCTGAATTTTTCTATCCCAAAATATTACAAAAGCTGTTTTAAATAGGTACTGTGTACATCCTAGCAGCTGGGGTATGTTGGGAATTGAATTTCCAACAAATCTTAAGGGCATCAAGTTGGGTGGGCTGATCTAGACTATTTGCTCTAATTCTGAGGAGAAAGTACCTCTTTTCCTCCCTCAGGTTGTATCATACAAGATTGAGCTTTCAAGAGAACTAATAGGATATTTCAGCTTATTCCTTATTCAGGATCACAACAATGGAGAACTGTCTGGTAAGAAGTGTTTTGAGTTCCATTAGACATTTACACTTTCTATATGCATAATGTGGAAAATCTGTATAGCTAATATCTATGAGGAAGTAACATCATGATTGGATTTTTTTATGCTTTTAGCTGGATTTAGAACTTAAAGTTTTATCATTTGCATTTTTTGGAGACAACGCCTTTAAATATAAAATGCAGCATCTTCTGTTTTGCTTTTCATGGGAATACTTCTCTTCCTTTTGTTTTTAAGTAAGGAAGTGTCAGCATTATTTGATTTAGAGGTTGTGCTTTTAGGAGATGTGTGTTAAGAATGCATGATGTAAGGGAATTAAATGTATGTTTTGAAAGATGTATGTATATCTTAGAGTCTTGAATATATGGGCAAGTTCACACAACATGTTAAACTGCCCTGCCAATAAGCTACACAGTGTCCGTGACTCACAGAACAACCCATAGTGCTTTATATACTATAACCTAGCCCCCTCCCTGGAAAAAATCTGGTGCACTCCAGCTGTGTTGGGCTACAGTATCCAGAATTCCCCAGCCAGATTCTGGGAGATGTCATTCTGAAGGCAACCAGATTGGGGAAAACTGCCTTTACCTTTAAAGAACCTTCTTGAACTTCTTGAGGCCTGAATTCCTGAATCATTTTCCCATAGCTGCCTTGCCATGAGTGATGTTAATGTAAGTATCATCCACTTTATATGCTGAAGCCAAAGATAACAGTCAGCAGACTGATTCTCTTAAATGCTTTTTTTCACATCAAATGGTTTCAGGATAAGAGGGTATAAGTTGTATTCCTAATTCCTGCTGATGACTCTGTCATGCCATCTGTCACTGAATGGCTATATGTCTATTCAGACTCAGATTCAGGTTATATGTCTATCCCACATCTTTTTATTATTTTATGTTAGCATAAATATGTGCATGCTGCCCTGCAATCCTCAGTGTTGAGGTGGTTCATAGGAGGTTAACATTGCACAACAGTAATGCAGACTAAAACAGCAGGTGAAACACCAAGGTACAACACTATCTCAGATCACTAACCTGGCCAAATAAAAGGCTTTTCCCTGGCACTTAAATGAGTAACAGCATTGGAATCAGGTAAAACTCTGCTCCTGCCAGCATAGCTCTTTCCTTTTTAGACATCTGCCTTACCTCCAACAGAAACAGCACTCAAAGAAGGACCTCACTGGATTCTAAGCACAGGCATGTTGGTGAAGGATTGAGCACTCCTTGAATATATTTGTCCCAAGTCATTCAAGGTGTTAAAGGTAAGAACTAGCACTTTGAATTGGGCTTGCCTGTGCATAGGAAACAAGTGAAGCTCTTTTATTGCTGACACGATAGGATCAGAATGAGCAGCACTTTATTCTTTAATAATTGAGGCTTTTCAAACACCTTCAAAGGCAGCCCTACATATACTTTTATTATTAGCTTGTTTGCTACAATTATTTTACTTTCCATCTAAAGAGTCCAAAGCAACATGCTTAATTCTCCTTATTCTCCAGTTTGTCCTTACAACAATCCTGCAAGATATGTTAGGTTGTTAGTCATTGACTGGCCCAAAGGCACCCAGTGAACTTCATGCCCCAGTGGGAACTAGAACCTGCTTCTCCTTAAAGTATTCTAACTACACTGGCTTTGATGCATTGCATTGCAGTAACAGTGCATTCATAACCTTGACTAACCTATCTCTGTTGTGGCCAGTGTGGCCAGCTATCTGTGTTATAGCTAGTAAAAATTACTCTGCTATAGCAACTAGTGCCCACTGATACTAGTTGGGCCAAGCACAGGTTGAGCAGCCCTTGAATCTCCAGTAGCCAACCTGTACTGCAGAAAGGAAAGAATGAAGCGCATGCAACAGAAGGGTGGACAATTCTACTTTTGTCCTGTTCTAGCAATAGCTCTCATTCAAAAGAGAATAAAGTGATCATGAGGACACTATTGGCAGGCATGCAGGGACAAAGTCACAAAACCACACAAAATCATGCTATTGCCACTGGTAATAATTATGCCTTCTGATTATATCCTTTGAACTAGGCGGCGAGGCTATGATAGGTATGAGAGCTAGCACTTTGGACTAAACCTCCTGCCTCAATAATGAATTTACACATGTGTGCATGTGAGAGTCACACAGAGTCAACAAAGTACAATGATAATTTAAAAACCATTTTCACTGCATTTTTAAATGTAAATCATCTTCTGTGGTATGTTGGAAACAAAAGATTAATATCTCTTCTATGGTGGAGATCTTGGGCAGAAACATAAGCTTCCCCTATTCCAGCATACAGCATATGTTCTGACAATCTGTTTCAAGATAGAGACATACATTGATTTAATCAGATACAGTCAAACAGGTCACCCACATATGCAGGCAGTGCTGGTCCAGAACATTTTGCTGCCTGAGGAGGACCTGCAAATGCTTCCCATTTCTCACTGGATAATCTGGGCTAGTCACTCACTTTCAGTCTAACCTACCACACAGGACAATTGTTAAATTCCTAGAGGAACAGCAAAACATAAATATAGTGAAAAAGAATAAATAATTTATACAAGAAAACATAATTACCTTATAGCCTATTCATAATAAGGGTTCTTAACATGTATTCATTTGCATGGATTTTCAAAAGAGGCAAGTTTAATCAATTTTTTTAGTTTAAAATTTATCTCATTAAGACTCTGGGGAGCTTGAAGACACCAACTCATATAATTTGTATCTAGTGTAAAAAATTTGAAAAACAGCCTCTTGCTGCTCATATGCTCCATTTATATGCATCCATCTTCTGCATCTGTATCAACTCAATTTTATTAGTACCAGAACAAAACCCACAAAAAGTCTTGTGGTATCTTAAAGACTAATGGGATTATAGCCCATTTAATCAGGTGCATGGAATATTATGGGGATTTTCAGGCATCTATAGAGTACATATGGAGAGAATAATAAGCTGAAGAAAATTAAATGCAGAAAGTAATGAAGGAAAGTATCCATCTTTACATTAAATATTTCACAGCCCCATCCTAACTCAATTTCCCTTAAAACACACAGACCCATACACTACCAACTCACAGCTCCAGTTTATAATATAGTGATATCATATACTACCCTCCCAGCAATATCGATATAACAGCCATTGATATTTTGCAGTATTGATGCAACTCTCAGTAAAGCACTGCAAAAAGTTCTTAGATCAACTAAAATGTATCCTTTTGCATGTTGTAACAGCAATCTACCTAAAAATAATTCCTGGAGTCTAATAGTTTTGTATCAACAACAAACTATTTGGCTCTTACAAGAAAATTACTTAATTGTCTTTGAATTCATTAATGTGAGGTGGTGGAGTGGAGAACAGAATCACACATCATACCTCACACAAAAGCACTTCTTTGGGCATACATTCCCTTGCTCCAGGAGCAACTCCTATTGAACAGAAAATCCAATTATCTTGAAATACTGAGTGGGAATGTGGAATCCTCAGAGCCATGCATTATCATGGTAAATGGTGGCAGTGGTGGTAGTAATATAATATATAGAAACAGAGTGAGTGAGAAGGGGCCTCTCAGGCCATCTACTCTGACCCCTGGCTCCTCTCATGACATTCCTATCATGTGCGAGTCCAGCATATCCTTAAACACTCTCACCAAAAGGGCTTCAACCACCTCCCATGGAAGTCCATGCCATACCCTAGGGGTCCTAACTGTCTGGAAGTACTTCCTGGCATCCACCTTGAATCTTGGTTCCCTGAACTTTGCTCCATTGGAACACATCTGCAGGGGGAAAAAGGTCACGACCCACCTCTGCATGACACTCCCTCACATACCTGTATGTCACTAGCAGGTCCCCTCTGAGTCTCCTCGAGGCTGAAAAGATCCAGTTCTCTCAGTCTCTCCTCATATGGCTTACCCTGCAAACCAGCCTTGCTGCACTGATTCCAGCCTTATAAAAATAATATCCTCATGAAGAAGAAAAATATTTTCACAGGAGGAGACTGGAACTTTCCCAAAAGTACCTCTCTTTCTTTGTACAAATATGATCAGAGACTGATTGGAAAATCTGATCAAAACACTGATATCAGCATCTAGTTCCCAGACAGCTTGTGCCTTATTGGATAAATAAATACTGCACAGGATGGCAGGTGAATCAGGAGATGTACAAACAAGGCTTTCCCTTCATTGTCCCAAAAGTCAAGAGGTTCATGGCTCCAGTCATAAGGCAGCAATTGGGAGAATCCAGCTCTTTCAGATAAAATGCCACCCCCTGTTGGACAAGCTAAGCTCCCAACTTCATGGGCATGAGAATCATTCACCCACAGCATCTCCAACTTGTTAGGATTCACCTTCAGCATTTTGGTTGTCGTCTAGCCTATTACTGAATTTAGGCACCAATTTCCACCGCCACCACTACATTTATTTACTGAAGTTTCATAGCTGAAGGTTCCTGAGCAGTTTACAATAATCCATAAAAGCAAGACAAAAAAATGCAGTAAAACTACCTTAAAAATCAAAGAAACATCAAAAAATTAAAACAGCTGAAACATGCAAGGAAGAATGACCCTGTAAAAACACACTTTGAGGGTCAACTTCTCAATGCTCTGGGTAGCCAAGTAAATCTTTAAAAGCCTTGGCATAAAGAGCTGTCTTAACTGGGTTCCAAAAAGATGACAAGTTTGGTGCCAGATAAAACCCTCCCCCTTGTTGCCCACCCTCCAGAAATCCTTGAACTTGGCACTAAGAGGAAGGCCTCAGAAGTTAAGCATAGTGCCCAGGTAGACTGTGATTGGTGCTCCAACAGATACTGTGCTCCTAAGCCATGTAGGGCTTTTTAGGCTAAAACCACTAACTTGAATTGCTCCTAGAAGCATTCAGGCTGCCAGTGCACGTAGGTCAGAAATGGTTTTATGTATTTTGACCTCCAGGTCCCAGGTATTAATCTGGCTGCCATGTTCTGCATGAGCTGAAGCTTTTGAACAGTCTTCAAGGGTAGTCCCACACAGAGGGCACTGCAGCAA